AATTGATTATAATATTAGTTTCTAATACATATTCTAATTTATTGATTATCTTTTATTTTTTACCTAATAATCTAAACATGTTTTTAGTCTACATTTTCTGATGAAAAGAACATCTTTTATAATTCTTAATTGCATTTAAATGTAATTAATCTTTTCAGCCATGTTTACCTAAACAAAGAAAAAAATCATCACTGCTTATTTTATCCATTCAATGTCATTCGTGGATTAGTGATTTATTCAAAATTAACTACACATTTTTTGCATTCATTTACTTAAAAATGGGTTTAGACGTTTTTTTTTCCGAAGATAATAGCCTTTCAAGATTTTAAATTTTCACAAATTAGTCCTTCGATCCCTTTTTTTAAGAACAACATAGAATAAATAGTTTGTTACATTCCTATTTTAATGAAGGTGAAGACAGCGACAACACACTGCATATTGTGATTGGTATCAATCGATTTATTTTTCATTAGATTGAATTATTGAGGATTATATGATCTCATTAAGTAAAAAAGTGTTGTTGGACTTATAGTATGATCCATAAGATAACTTATGGAAATTTGAGCTTTCAAGTATATTGATATTATTTAAGTTGTATATGTGCACTTTAAAAATGGGAAAATGAGTACCACAGGCCACGCAGTTCTATTCTAACTCAACAATTTCATTGGAAATTTGGTGGTTTGGAGCTATTAAACATATCTTACATTTATTTTGAAACATTGACATATAGAGCTAAATGACTTCATTGCATAAATCCATACATGAATAAAATCCATATTCATGATTTTGAAATGTTTTACAAATCTGTTTTCTAAATTAAATCATAATTAAGGAATTAATTTTTGAGGTTATTTGTATAATTTTTGTAGTCCCTTTTTATATTTTAGTACCAAATCATGTGTCATCGTCTCAATTTTGGTGATTAAATAACAATTTAAATATTCTTAAACTATTAACGATTATCTCCATAATAAGACAGTTTAGTTTTCTATGTCTATCTCACTTGTGCTTGTATTGTAATTAACTCTATAATAAGCTAATTAATTCCAAAAGATTTCTTGAATACTAATCTAATATACCATTCTTAATTTTAGGGAGGATTCCATTAAAAATGTTTTTAATTGACCATTTTTTGTCTGATTTCATATTATCTAAACGTTTGTTAGCTCTTTTTATCAAACAGATTCACCTTGTTCAACTAATAGTTTAGATGCAGCATTTCAAAATTCATGTCGGGACAACAGTCTTTTGTCCATACAATAAACCTTAATTCAGACAATAGCCTCCACATATAGCTCGAAATTAAATGCCAAACATAGACCGGATCTATGAGCCCGTTTGGCAACTTGTTTTGAGATTGTCAGCCATTTTTTTACCAAACACGTAGATTTGACTTTGTGCACTGAATTGTGAAATTATTAAAATAATTCAGGTGGAGTGATTTTCTGAGTGAATTTGCTATAGAGTACAATTTTAGTTATTCTCATATATTTTTATCTTAAATTTATTAACAAATCACATTTTAATTATGTTCAATGATTCAGCCAATGCAGTCATTTTAGCCAGAATTTCATAATTTCAAAAAATTGTTTCGATTTAGCAAGGTTTAGTGTTACCAGACAGGTCCTATGTATTAAATAAAGAATTGCTTTATGCGCCCCTAGAATTACTAAACATATATAACACATGTAAGATAATTTACCCATTTTAATTCTTTTATTAAAGGTGATTCTCATTACATTCTAACAACCTTAAACATTTTGTAATACTCTAACGTTGATGGGAAGGTGTCCAATTTTTTTAATTTCTTAAAGTTCTTTTAAATTCTATTTTTTAGTTCTTTTTCTTAAATATGTATTTTTACTTGATTGTGTTTACACCGTTTTAACTTTTAAAATGAAATCATTAATATTAATATAATATATTTTGAAATTGAAAAAGAAATCACAAATAAGATTTTAAATTTGCAATACTTGTTTTGCATTGGGAATATATGTACTTTGAAATTGAAAAAGAAAATAAAAAATAAGTTACTAAAATTGCAATAATAATTGTTTTACATTTGGATTATATGTACTTTAATGTAATTTATAATAGCATTTTACTACTCATAATATCACACATATATGTTTTTCAAAGAATTCTCAAAATATTACTTTTCACTTATCAAACGGTAAAAAATAACCTTAAATAACTCTAAAAAGCATTCGTATATGTTTAAACTAAAAAAATAATTAGGAACATGAATTGATAAAAAGATGACATGGAATTTATGGATTGATGAATTATTCCTAAACTAATGTACGTAACATGAATTGATAAATTTTAGTCTAACTTAACTTCTAACTTATTGGTCCTAAACTAACGTGTATAACTTAACTTAACTTAACTTAACTTAACTTCTACGTATAAATGTATAATTAATACGGAGTAACTAATATTCTATATTAGAAAGAGAATAAAAAATATTTAATGAATGTTTGCTTTGAATATGGGGTGAGTCAAATAATTTTATAAGAAATTGGGGTGCATACATTAATAATATTGAAAATAGGGTGCAAACTCAAATATCACCTAAAACATGGAGTGCAAAATCAAATTCTCCCTTTAAAAAATTAAGCCAAAAACCTCCATCTATGGTATATTCAAAATTCTTTTTATTTTTACATATGCAATATTGGTGTCATATGAAAGATAATAAAAAATCATAAATTTTGAGATACTTTTTATGAAAATCAAATTACAAATCAAAAAGTTATATCAATTTTAAAAAAACAGAGATATTTTTTATTGTAGATTCATAAGTTGAGTGTAGTTCTAATTTCTAATCTACACTAATTCGTATACTCCAACCGTAATAACAGTCATAACTCATAACAATTCTAATTTCTAATTTAGAACAATAAAGATTTGTTTAGGAGATGACACCTGACAAAACTTTCTCTAATTGTAACCTCCAAATGTATTATCTATAGATTTCATGTTTATTGACAAATTGATTATAGTAAAAGTAATTCTTTGTATACACATTTTTTGTACGCGATGAAATGTGTACAAAAAATGTGTATACAAAGAATTACATTTCATTGCTATGAGTAATAATTTGTATTAGCTCTTCAACAATTTTTTTCTATTGGCTTTTCAAAATTCTTTTTATTTTTACATATACAATATTGATGTCATATGAAAGATAATAAAAAATCATAAACTTTGAGATACATTTTATGAAAATCAAATTACAAATCAAAAAGTTATATCAATTTAAAAAAATAGAGATATTTTTTATTGTAGATTCATAAGTTGAGTGTAGTTCTGATTTCTAATCTACACTAATTCGTATACTCCAACCGTAATAACAGTCATAACTCATAACAATTCTAATTTCTAATTTAGAACAATAAAGATTTGCTTAGGAGATGACACATGACAAAACTTTCTCTAATTGTAACCTCCAAATGTATTATCTATAGATTTGAATTTTTTGAATACGAATCATCTTATACGAATTCGAATCGCGAACCGAGTATAAATTATTTGATTCGTTTATAAGTCTAAGCACAAGTGCCTAACAGCACTACAACTGTAACTTTTTTATAGGTTATTATGTTAGTTTTATTTAAGAATAAAACTAAAGATGCAATTGGAGTCCAGGAGCCGCATGCCAACTCTAATTTCCATTATTAAAATTAAAAATTAAAAGCTCCTCACATTACTCGTCTACTACTCCTTATTTTTTGAGGCCTTGCCCCAACTGGAGGCCCTAGGCAAATGCCTGGGTCAACTCCCCTTTTAGCCGGGCCCTGAGCCCATATCCGGATTTCTCTATGCATACTCCTCTTGGAGCTCATTGTAAACCCTAGTCAAATTATTCATTATTACACATTCACCTCCTTCTCCATTTCTTGTTCAATCTCTCCCTAAATTATACTTCCTCTGTCCCAAAAATAACTTCACAGTTTGACATTCACACAGATTTAAAAAATAAATTTGACTTTACTGTGGAGTGCACTGTTTTTCACTGTTTAAACATTGTTTGACAGTGTTTGGACACTGTTTGTCACTACTTAACTTTGCTAAATCCCATTTAGTATACCAAATCAAAATCAAACTAACAAATACTCTGTGTAGACGTTTCCAATTAGTGGTGGACCGGTTCCGGTTGGACCGGCCCACACCACCACTATGCGGAACCGGACCGACCCGGTAAACCTAGATCAGTCCCGGGCCTAAGACTGGCCCGGGGTGTAAGGCGGGGAGGTTCCGGGCCTAGGAACGGCCCGGGGGGTTAGGACGAGACGGTTCCGGGCTGCTCTTCCTTTGGAATCGGCTTGGCGGGCCGGGCCCAGTTCAGGCCTTTTTTTTGTGGTAGGCGGGTTGGGCTGGGTGTTTGGGGGAGTGGGGGTGGGGGTGGAGGGGTAGGGGGGGTTGGGGGTTAATTAGAAAAGCAAAACAAAATGAACCGCCCCGAGACCGGCCCAGTCCGGACCCGATGGAATCCAAGGCCAGCTCCGGGCCTGTAGGCACAACCAAAAGCCCGGTTTGGATCGGCCCAGAATCGGTCCATGCCTATATTTCCAATAAAAGACATAGGGTATTAGAGGGGGGAAAGACATCGTTCAAACTAGGGATGTCAAAAAAACCCGACCCGCAGTGACCCGCCCTCGCCCGAGACATTTGGGGCGGGTCCGGGTATTAGTATTGACCCGTGCCGCCCCGCCCCGACCCGACCCGCTCAATACATAAGCATACATGCTTTTTCTGAAATTATACTACAAATATACTTCAAAATATATATGTTTATACAGTAAATCATAAATTATTTGATCTTATAATATATTAATACATTTATTAAAATGAGATGAACGAGGGATTATCAATGCATTTTTTATATATAGCATTTTAATACATATGTTCAATTATTAGTATAATTAAATAGATTAACTATTCCAATCTGAGTATTTCTTTCCTTAATTTTTGAGATTTTTAGGGTATATCATGAATTTGATTTAATATATTAATGTTTAATTATTATTTAGAAATAAACTTTATATAGATTCAATTAGTAACAACTTCCCACAAATAAAAATACATACTAGCTAATTAGTATACAGCGGGGCGGGACAGACCCGCCCTGCATGAGGCGGGTCATGGGTCAACAAGTTTTGACCCGTGCAGGTCACGAGGCGGGGCGAACCCGTCCCTCCAAGTCATGGGGCGGGTCTGGGTCTAGCAGTACCCACCCCGTCCCTCCTAGTTCAAACTTCGACTGGTGTAAAATTGTACCAGTAAATGTAAAATTGTACTAGTAAATTAGAGTAATAGTCCTTTACTGAGTAATTTTTTTCACCAAATCACATTTTATTTTTGTACTTTCTTGAGTACACCATTCCCGTAATGCCATCCGGGTCGGCTACAAACCCCAGCAACCGATAGAACCCGAGAACCCGGGGCTCCGAATACAGAGCAATGTTAGTAACCCCTTTCTCGAGCAGCTTGCTGACGATCCTCTCCATCACCGCCTTCCCCAGCCCAATCCCTTGGAACCTGGGGTCCACCACCACATCCCATATGATGCCGTTGAACACTCCGTCTCCGGTGACTCTGGCGAACGCCACCAGCCGCTCCGCCTTCTCGTCCTCCACCCACAACAGCGCGTCGGTGTGCTCCAACGCCGTCCGTACCTTGACGGGGTCGCGCTTCGGGAATCCCACGGCGGCGAACACCGCATTGAGGTGGTCTAGGTTTAGGTTGGCGGTGGTGGTGTGGAAATTGAAGCCTCTGGACCGAAGCTCCTCATCGGAGATGGAGAAATTCGCGGCGGCTATGGGTTGTTTCTGTTGGGCTAATGCAATTGGGAAGGTTTTGCGGCGGTGCGTGGCGGTGAGGTGGGTGTGAAGATGGCGAGTTGAAATGGCGTTGTTGAGAAGCATTTTTCATGGTTCATCTGTTTTCAGATCTGTAAATGGGTTTGTATGTAGATAATACAGTATATCTTGGTTTCCACTAGCAAGTGTGTGGTTGTGAAACAGCCTTGTTGTATATACAGTAGACTATATAGGACAAATTTCAGTCTTTTTTTAAGTAGAAAACGGTCAAATAGGTCCTCGAACTTTCATTAAAAGGTTAATTAAGTCTTTATATAGGAGGTTCTGTCCGGCCGTCGCGATTTGGGGCAGTTCCCGGTGGAATTATTTGATGAAATTTTTTGAGCATCTTATTAACCAAGTCTAGTTTACTCATACCAAATTTCAGCTAAAAATTCAATCGGGAACACATTCAAATTAATTCTTGAAGATAACTGTGCATTTTTGCGTTTTTCGAATTAATTTGAATGTGCTCCCGATTAAATTTTTAACTGAAATTTGGTATGAGTAAAATAGACTTAGTGAATAAGATGCTCAAAAAATTTCATCAAATAATTCCACCGGGAACTGCCCCAAATCGCGAGGCCAGACAGAATCTCCTATAATAGGACTTAATTGACCTTTTTATGAAAGTTCGAGGACCTATTTGACAGTTTTCACTTTTTTTAATGACTTAAGTTCATTTTTTATTTTTATTTTTTTAAAAGCAGCACCGGAATCTTACCAAAAAATTACCCCTTCCCCTCAAATTAACCATCTCACCATCCGCCCTTCCCTCCTCTCTCTTCACAGTTCGTTCCCCCCTTTGACCAAGAGCCTCCTAGATAAAATTTTCTTTTCTCCTTTCCCTCTTTCGTTTCTGTCTCCCTCCCAAATCCCTAATTCAATCGACAAATAACATTTTCTATCGTCACTTGTCTTCCTCACCTCCACCTTCATAATCGAATACGCCTTCAAGTTCGAGTCCAACCTGAACGGTGTGGTTGCTGCAAGAATCAACGTAGACGACGAGGATGACATTCGATTTATGCCTCTCGAACAAGAATTTCCAATCAATAAGGTCACAATTGTAGCAGCTTCTGGACTAGACTCTCAATTACATGGGTGCGTACATATAGTCATTTTTCTTATGTTAGTTTGTGCGTGAGGGGAGTTGGGGTAAAGGGATTTAGTAAATTGCTTATTTTTTCCAAACTCTCAGTTAATGCTTTGTCTCTGTGAAGAACCTTCTTAACATTATTTGGTTAATTTCAATTTGTTCTACGAATTAAACTACACCATGCGTACAAGTAATTTTTTGCATTTATAAAATTCAATTTTTTGGTCCTAAAAATTGATCTAGGAGGCTCTATCTGCCGTAAGAGATATCCACCAGAAGGGTAACATTTAAATTTAGTTTTAAACTTTAGTTTTGTACTAGTAATTTAGATAAAGTTGTTCCATTATTAAACTTTAGTGAATTTAATCTTTTTTTAACATAATGCTAGTTTTTTATTCCCAAATTTAAATTATAGTGTAAGATGTTGGTGAGACTCATACAAACGGTGTCCGGTAAAATAACCGTTACAAGTAGAGGTTTTTCGGAGATGCTTAATATAGTGATTATAGTCCATCCATATGCTTAGTGGTTATTGTATCCCTCACAAGTTTAGTGCCTTATTGTTGTGAATCAGATGATCAATATTGAAAGTTAGTTTCTTGAAGTTGCAAATTTTACATGTGGTTGTCTTGTTTTGTTTGTTATGATGGAAATTGTATTTTTTTCTATGTAAAAAGAATGCATTGTTTCAATGTAATTTTTCTCTGTTAATGTGATATGCTTAATGAATTTTGTAAAACAATGTTGCTTAATGGGAGATAGTTCGTAGTGTTTTTATTGTCATGCTGAATCCCTTATGCTGTGTTATTTATGGATTTGTTTAGGAGAAAATATTTGCCTATATTACTAGGTTTTCTAAATGCATCAAGGACTGTAAGGAAGAAGCATAATATAATGCAACACTCCAAATTTATAATGACATAGACTATAGTTGAAATTGTATTCCACCAACAGTAGTTTTTGGTTTTTTTTTTTGTATTTTGAAATGCCAGACTAGTGCAATCACTTAAATTTAAATGCTTTGATGTTGATTCAAAAAATGATCCTTAACATATTAGGTTGAATTGTTTTGATTTGCACTTTCTGTTCTGATAGACTAAATTCATAATGTTTGTGTTTATATGACTTAAACTGATTTATTTTAATTTATTCACTACATTTATTAAACCATACTTTTGAACAATGACAAAAGAGTTTTAATCTATTTCAGATAGTTTGATGGCGATGATGGTGAGCCTCCATAACGAAGATGATTCACTACATTTATTAAACCATACTTTTGAACAATGACAAAAGAGTTTTAATCTATTTCAGATAGTTTGATGGCGATGATGGTGAGCCTCCATAACGAAGATGATAAGTCTCCTTCTGTTTATGTTTAATCAAGGCATGTGATAAATCAAATTATGACATACAATGGATCCATAAAGTCAAGAATGAGAGATTTAAGAAATGAATAGCCAAATACTTCATTCTTACAATTAGTTATATTGTAAAGTTAATCTTCATTATTTACAATGATAATGTAATGAGAGTTGTTTGTATTTTCCAAGTATATCTTTTGTATTAAGAAAGCAATTTTGAATTTTGTGGAAGGAATTGAAGTTCTCTGATTAATACATTTTGTAAGTTAATTGAAAAACTAAATTGGTAACTTGTTATAGGTAAGTTGTCTACGTACTGACAAAATAAATTCAAGTAAGTGAATAAACACAAAATGCTTTAACCATTCACACACAAATGACACAATATAAATGAAGATATAGAGGATAGTTCAACTATGAGACAAAATAAATGTACACAGATATTATTTTTTGTGCACATATAATATAAATGAATATTCAAATAATGTTTTAACCATGCACAAACAATATAAACGAACATATAGACATTATTTTCAATGCACAGACAAAATAAACGAATACACAGACAATGTTTTCAGTACTCACAGACGATATAAACGAACACACAAGCAATTATTTTCTAGGTAACATTTGGGTAGTACATTCTAGAATACTTCAATTTTACACTTACACTTACATACTGAATACAACAACATTACTTTACAAAGTGACTATTACAAGAACCAATATAATAATAAAGGTAAACAACATATGTAATGTTCTTAATGTCGTCCCTCGGCCACCTCTTCCTGAACAAACTGTAAGGAAGCTCTTTAGCAAGGGAAATGACTTCATTAACATTTGCATTTGACTCCTCCCAACTGTGATGTATATAATTAGTCATGTAAACACAATTATGTGAGTAGTAATAATTATAACAAATCAAACAAGTTATAGCTAGCAACCTACAAAGAAACAATGTATTGACAACTAGCCATACTAACCTCAAGTGTTTTATACGATTTTTAATTTCATGAAGAATTAGTTTATAAAATGGAAATTAGCAAATAAAAACATAAACAGAGTTTAGATGATTGAAAGTGAAAATAGAAATTGGAGAATTGTAAGGCTATTTAAAAGAAAAGGAACACAAATTGGATAATTTTCTAATTCTTAAACAAGGATTATGATAGTTGTGACTGAAAACTCATGTAATATCCAATTCCCACACCTGCCATGCTATAAACAGTTGATAGAATATAAGAAATGCAAATTTTAGGATTGAAACTTAAAACCATATTCACAACTAAGTTGGTAAAATACTAGAATATATGTATCATAATTGTTGACCGCCTAAAATGATATCAAACAATTGGAAAATGATACGAAATTAATAACATAGTGATAATAACAACATTTTAAGCATGAAAAGAGAGCAGTGTGGTAGAAAGATTGAAGCTTAAGTATTAACTCATCAAAGCAAAAATAGCAGATATCAGTAGCTACAGAATATCATGATTTAACAATATATTTGGTAAACATATACAATTATAATAATCAAACCAGTTCCACATTTGAACACAAGTGAAAAGAATGAACTCTTTTGATGAAAACATCAGGTTAAAAGCCAAAAACTTATATGAAATTGATATACCCTTATGGGAAACAAGAAATTTAGATTTTGAACTAGTTAACAATAACGGACCAGTGTGTTGAAAAAAAAGATCAAGTCAAAAGAAAAACAAAAAAGGAGAGTAAAAGTTTTAGATTTAAACAAAAAAAATCATTGAGGCATTTCAACAAACATGTTATGAGCATAAATGTGAAATACAATAATTGAATTAAAATTTCAATTATTAACCCTACATTCTATCACAATAATACAAAATATTCAACTACTCATTGTTATACCATACAAACAATTAGAAATTTTAAACAAACAAAACCCTAAAGTGCATATAGAAAAACCGAATAGCTTACCTCAATTTATGGGCTGGTTGATCTGAACTTCTTGTTCGAGCGGACTGTTTCATCCTCGCCGCCTGCGCCGATTCCAGTGGCAAACAAATGAAATGGGAAGGGGGGAAAAGAAAAAGGAGAGGAATGAGGGTGAGATGCCTATGAGAAGGGATGTGAGAGAAGGGAATGAGAAGAGAAAGAGGGTAAAAAAAATTAAAGAAGGTAAAAAAAATAAAGGCTTTTTATAGTGTGTACATATGTGTGTACAAATGTGTGTACAACAATCATTTTTGAAACTCAAAACTTTTTTTTGACACTTCCTTCGTTATCCAAACAAATTTTCCCATGCTATAGTTATTTTTGTTCCTCATTTATTCCACAAGACATAATATCTTCTGTTAGTACTTGAGATGCTTTTATTTAGATTAAGATGCTTTTATTTGGATTAGGAATTTAGGATGCTTTTACTTAGATTGAAATTTGTTAGTTTGATCTAGTCTGATTTGATTTGTAGGACTCTGTGGCCAATTTTGTTCAAAAATTTCCATTGGTAAATACATGATGACATTTAAATCTATTATATTACTACGGGTACATTTTAATTTTAGACAATGAAAAAATAACTTTGATTTAATAATTGCTAGTGCTCTAGAAAATTATTTGAAAATAAAAAATGATATAACATTTTATCAAATTACTTTAAGGTAAAGAGTTTAAAAGGTACACAAGGACCGATGCT